CCCAAACCATTCTATGATTCTATAAGAGGACAGCTGGGCATTTCTAGGACTTTCTGTGGGATCTTGGTCTAGTCTCCTGTTGGGGCACTTTGGGCACCATCCTGCAGGGGCTGAGCCCAGGTGCAGAACCGAGAGCTGATAATTGGGTCCACCAACTGCCCCCAACATGGGAGGTGATGAACCAGGGCCAGGGGCCATCCAGGGGACCCACCCAGGAGCAAAAGAGGATGAGACCAGGGACAGAACTGGAGACAAGCTACAACATGCATTCAAGGGGTCCATCCAGGAAGCATGGCTGGAGGCCAGCACTCCTGTGGTGCCACAGGGCCAGGGACTGATGCCCCCAGGCTGAGCTGAAGTGGGGTCCTGGACCATGGCCAAGGGTGTGGGGATGCCCAAGGTGGGGCTGTGGCAGGGCCAGTAAGGCCAGCCAGTGCCTTGGGTCTCCTCTCCTATAACCTTGGTTAGCACTATGGACATAACCAGCAGTAGGAGCCAGTGGTCACAGTTCTGACCTAAGAGTGCAAAATCTTGTATTTTATTCTTACCACTGAACACCACCCTTACCACCACCCCACCGCATGTCCATGAACACCTTTCTGTTCCTCCATCCATAAAAGGAGGACAACGTGTCATTAGGAAGGTATAGGGCTTAGTTGCTTACGGAAACTTTGCATAATGAAAATCTTTTCTAAAGCATTGTTAATTCGTTGTTACATTATTTGCTGCTGAAGGAATGTAAAACATCTTGAAGGAAATCTTGGCCCTACTGAGAAAGCAGAAAAACCTCTTTTGCTTTTCCTAGAACAGAGACTTCAACTCTCATACCAGCTGCGTATATCGACAGGGAATCACTTTACGCTGTTCTCCTTGATTATGTGCCCTTAGAAGATACTACATCAGCAAGCTTTTAGGCACATTAGATTTCTGCATTAAAGCATTTTTCAAAATTCAATGTCTGCATCACTTTCAAAGCAAAAGAAAAACCCGAACAAATACAATACACCTAACTCTGCATGCGTTTCTTCTCAGAGAAAGAAGGTGAGCAAATAAACACATGGACTGCCGATAGCACAGCTGGAAGGTGCTCGGAGATTCCTTGTGAGGATCTCAGGAGAACACTCTGATAGAACAGAAAAGCAATGCACTGAAGAGCATTAGAGAGATTCCTACTGACCACAGCAGACTTCAGATCAGGCAAATACAATCTGTGTCTTATAGGGAAACTTGCAGGCAATGCTGACAAACACGTAATGTGAATCTGGATATATCCATATGGAGAAAGTAGAATGCCTAGATCAGTATTTTATGGATCTTCCTTTATGTATCTGTACAAAACATTAAACTTGTATGCCTTTAAAATAGCAACACTATATACATTTATAGTTTCTGATTGCCTGGTTATTTTGAGTACTCTTCTTAAGTAACGTATATTTATTACTGGCATGTGTCCTCTGTCTTTCCACAAAAGACTTTAAAGCAAGAAGTGGATTGCAAAATAAAGTTTTACATCATGTTAAAAAATTAAGAGGATTGATAGAATAAAACTCTGAATCTTGGCGCTTGTCTGATCTGTCTTCAAAGTCAAGACAAGACCATCTATGGCTACAGCATTCCCCACACAAAGCTATTTAACAGTTCTAGGAAAAAAAATCAATAATGAAGATCCCTAACCCCCTCCAATCTCTTCTGCTGTCTGATTGTTCTTATTGTTCAGCAAGCTGCCTAACCTAAATTTCCTTTTGCTGTAATTTCAATGTATTATTTTACTCATCTCCCCGTGGATCTGGAGAAGTCTGTTGCCTCCTTCTTTTCCTCACCTTTCTGCATATAAAAGACTGAGAGCAGCTCCCTCCACCTTCTCCTCACTAGACAGTCCATTTTTTTCCCTGTCAGCCCTGCTTTCCAGATGTCTGGTACCCCTCTGCTCTCTTGCAGGATCCTCCCCAGGGTTCTACTTGGCACATTTTAGATTGACTTCGGACTGGTCCCCTTCTGCAGAGGCCCTGTGGAGGGCAAGTGGGAGGATGACTTGTGCGTCTAAGACCCATGTTTCTGCAGTTGCTGCCCACCACCATGGAGCTGTAAAGATGAGCTCATGGGATGGCACCAGGTCACGTTCAGTTTATTCACTGTTATACCCAGACTCCTTTCTGAGGAACTGTTACCTACTCAGTTATTTCTCCTCTTCTTCTTCTGCAGTTGGTCACAAATGTGATACTCTGTGCTTGTTGGTACTGAACTGTATTCTGTTGTCTGAATTTTGCCATAGTTGATAAAAATCTCTTTAATCTTATCTCCTAAAGTGCTTACAGCTTGGCATTGTCTGCAAATTAAAGATACAAGTCACAAATGACCTGAAATACCAAGTCTTTCAACGACACTTGAACGATACATCTTCTGTGCTGGCTGTGAATTCTTGACAACAACTCTTTTATTACAACAGTCACCTTCCTGCACTTTCAACCAAGCCAGGTTTTCCCAGCTCATTTATGAGAACCTCGTAATGTCAAAAGGCTTGCTAAGATGCAAAGAGATGATATCTACTGCGTTCTCCCTGTGCCCAAGGCCTCTTAGCCTGTTAGAGAAGGAAAATAAGATGAATTATGGTTTGTCCTTGACAAGTCCATGGTGTTTGCTGGTTATGACCATACAAATTTGAAGTGCTAATGGGGAGAGTGCTTGATTATCTATTCTTGGGTTTATTTTATTCTTAAATCTCACAATCTAGCTAGGAATTCTTTATATAGCCTTCCTGCTTTGTAAAGGAATAAACTGTGTTTCCCTGTCTTGTGAACTCAATCTATTCTCAACAGTTTTTCAAAGATATTGCTAACAGATCTGGTATCAGCTAAACTTGATGGAATTTGCCTGTCAAAAAGTATTTATCTTACCCAAGAAATTCTCTAGCCTGTTCACGTCTTGTAACAGCCTGTGTTCCTATGCCTTTTTGTTGCTGTTAGTAACCTGTGATCAGGTTAGGATGACTTCAAAGTGAGAACCAAAGCGATAAAAATCCATCTTATCCAGCATACTCTATAATCAGCTTTCTTTTCTCCATTTTCCTGTTCGTCAGTTATCTTCCTAATTCTGTAGAATAATCTTTTAGCCAAGCTGCATTCTTTCACTCTGAGCAAGCTTCTTTCTGCAATTAGCCTTATTCACTTCAAAGTTGCATGAGCATTTTGTTCAGATTCGGTTTAAAATGTCAAACTTGGCTACCTCTGAATTCCTCTCATAGCTGATCCTTGACCATCTGCTTCTGCTGAATCACTCAATACTATATTCTTGTGTTTAAGTCACTTATTGCATTTCATAGCCAAAGCCTTAGTGTATGTGAACGTCTTTGTGCCATATGACACACAAACGTGCGCATCAGACCTTGGGCTCACATTGCCACCTACTCCTGTCCCCTCAAGGCCCCCTGATTTAGCAGCTCATGTGAAACAGCTCATCACTTATGGCTTCTTTTGAAATTCAGCTTCTTCCAGCAAATCAGCTCCTCTTTGATTATCTAGCAATTAAACAGGGCCTGTCCCCAATTCCATCTCTGCCATGCTAGTAATCCTTGACTACAACACGCATTTGTAATAATCTCAAGATGATTGTTTTTAATTGATTTTAATGTTTGCAACAGAAAAGCTGAAGTGGATGTGCTAACGTGTTTTATAATCTGAAAGAGCAATGGGGACTTGTCTGATGGTGTGGGAGAGAGTCAGAATGAAAAAGAGCAATCCCTGTTTCATTTTGCTGCTGCCACCTGGGGAAGAAATAGGTCCTGCTTACACAGACCCAGAAAAACTAATTGTAGTGTTAGTTAAATGCTGCAGTTATACAGCTGTAAAACAGCCTCGCCATAGCTGGCACAGCCTGTGGTGGGTATATGCTGCCCAGAGGTTCTTCATGGATTACTTTCGCAGCCTGACCCTTTTCCCTCTTTCTTCTCCATAGATTATCAATTCAGTGGTATTGCTGATTCTGCTGAGCGCCCTGACCGATCCTGACCAGTACCACCTAACCAGTGCTGAGTTAGGGGGTGAATTTGAATTTATGGATGATGCCAGTAAGTACAAGCTGTCTAAATAACTAACGCTAGTTGCTCCAGTGTTTGTGTAATTGTCCCATCATTTCAGTAATTATTGTCCTTTAATTATTGCTTCACCTTAGTATCTTATAGATGCATTTTTATTGTGAGAGGCGTATTCATGGCACAGTTCAAACTGGTTACCTAATAGTAACCTAATCTCTTACCTATTAGTAATCCATCTGCTCTGCTGTGTCCTGGGTTAGCAGGGGTATAGCCAACCCTTGACGTGGAGATGTTATCTCTGAGCATGATGCTGGAAGCCCCAGGAGGATTTTGCAAGACAGAAGGAGATACAGAGTCTCTGCACCTCCCAGCACCAGGTCCCACAGTGCCTGCACATGCACAAGACCCCATGCTGCTATTTATGCAACTGGCTGAATGTGTTCATTCGTGTTGTACATATATACACACCCACCACATGCACGTGGCACGACTTGCAGAAACCTGTTGTAATAATGCAAATATAAAAATTAACTGTACAATCATAGGCGTGTTAGTGATTACACGGGGCTGCTTCCTTCTTCCACCAAAGGACATCATAGAAAATCTTCAATACAGTTTCAGGGAAGGGTGAACGAGGCCATTTATGTCTCCTGCAAAACCCTCCTGTCCTTTGCAAATGTTTCTTTCTTCTGTTTCAAATTGTTTGGTGATGTTTGGTTTGTTGATTTGCTTTAACCATTTAATTGGTATCTAGAAAGTTTTCCCTCAGCATGTTTTTGATAGAAGTGTCTGTTTATTTGTTAAGGAAGCCCACACCATCCAGGCATCCGGCGTTACCTCCGTAGTCTAAACGCTAGTTTTCCTGTAGCAGAGTCTCAGGCATCAAAGTTGAAAAAATACATAATTTATTAAATCGTACAGCAGCAAGGTCAGCTTGAGCTGGGTGCCTCCAGAGAGTGACCCCAGGCCAATAAATTCTGGGGCAATGATACCCTTACAGACTATTCACCTGCCCCTCATGCACTGTTCATGTGCTGTTCACGCGAATTTGGTCCACTTATGATTTTTGGTGTAGGGTCTTCTAACACCTCATTGGATTCTTTCTCTGTCTCTAGGCAGGTCATGGGGTTTTTTATCTTGACAAGTTGCACCTACTGCACCCTGAAGCCTCCGTACCTTCCAGTCTGTGTTTTTTCAGCAGAATAAAAGAAACTGCAAAAGTCTCAGGATAAAAAGTTCTGGACTTAGGATAAAAGCTTATCTATGACACTTAGCCATAACCACAACTTCAGAGTGTTGTCTACATTATTTTCACATTAAAAACCCCAAAACACAGCATACTGTACCAGCTACTAAAGGGAAAAATATACCTAAGTGGAAATTTACATCTTGCAGCCTCAGGCTTTGGCTAATCTAACTACTTGCTAAGTAAGTAAAGCTGAGTAAACAGCATACTAAATCACACAACCTTACAACTCCAAGTGATTCATTCTATTTAAAAATTACTTATTTAAGCTAAAGAACTAATATTTCTTAACATATTTTAATTTCTGCTCACAAGATAGTTACATTCAACATTTCTCTCGGTAATGCGACACAAAGTCACCTGTTTGTTACACCGGTGTCCTGCTGCTCAGCATCACACCCATCCACAGCAAAAGCTCCAAG